CCATGCAAATCTTTGGGGTGGAGCAACAACTCGTGTCCATAAGTTGATCCACATTAATTGCCTGTAGGTCTCTCTTTGCCTTCACTTAAAGAGAAGTCTAGATTTCTGAATAAGATTTTAGCTTTCTCTTTCTTTTTGCGCTGAACCCATTTTTAAAACTGCAGTGTCTACTCAGTTCTTTTAACACCTTATGTAATGGAATTGGTTACAGATATACTTTAATATAAGTTGGATTTTGATCTTGATATTGGGAAGCACATTAGTAAGTTCCTTCCTGATCATTCTTCTGACATTTTGTAAACCATTAAGAATTCTCTGGCTCCAGGGGGTTTTGTCCATAAAGAGAACGAAAGTTCCCCTTGGAGATTTAATAGCCACTCTGAAATAATGTCTCATATTTAATAAGATTTTCATTACTTTTACACACTATGCTCCACTGCATTTCCTGATTGATATACAATGAAGCAGTGGAGATCAGACGGTCCTCAATAAATTAACAAGGAGGAACATAATATTCATAGGGAGCTAATGAATCACAAAATGCCTCACTCATAAAATTAAGCAACCCTCAATACATGTAAATGAATAAATGATAATAGCTCCGTGCCTTTTGTATTTTCTAAGTGCTTAGAGCAACCTTGTAAATAAGCAGGAAACTTAAAAGGAGAGAGGAGAGGAAGACTGCTGCTGATACATAAATTACTAAGTGGTGACATTGATGGCAACTTTAATTTACCCAGATTCCAGTGGCAGGACTAATTAGTTTGTACTCCAGGCTACAAAATGAAAATGATGTGACATCTTGCTCATCTTCACAAAAGGTCTGACACAGGCACAGATTCCATCCTGGAATTTTTCATGTTGGCCAGATTTAAGAAAGTGATTAAAAAACTTGTGTTTATCTTTTTGTTAATTCAGTGGCATCCTCTAAATTGTCGTCTTTCTTTTTTGTCCAGAACCTGGTTGAATGATCTCAATTTGAACTTAACTATGTTCTGGCTGTGTGGCCTTATAGAAGTAAAAACCCCTCTGAACCTCTGAGTGTCTTTGTGGATACATAGAAAAGCAAATGAATAATGTATGTACAGGTGATGAGCACAACACTCAGCCTACGAACTGTCTGTGGCCTCTTTCACTGACCACAGAGCCAAGAAGAAGAGGGCATGTGTCAGGGTGAGGAGCTAAAGAAGTTAGTGAGGGGCGTGATGGAGCAGAGGAAGTGGGAGCAGACGCTGCAGCCATCTGCAGCCTTGCATTGTAAATGTTCTTGTGTGAACCTGGTGGTCGGCAGTGCAGTGCCCTGTGCTTTACTTTTTCTGCCCTGCGTAGTACATGCAGCCACTGGTACAGCGGGATACCAAGAACAAAGGATAACAGCAAGATAGACAAGTGCTGATCCAATTATCCAGTCCTCTGAGTGTACATCTGTATCAGAGTCTGAAGGAACAAGGGCGGAAAGAGAACACTTGGGACTCAGGAGCAAAGGTCTTAACACTTCCAGAACCAACAGCTTCTTTTATAAAATGATATAACATGAGCTGTCGAGTTTTCTGTCCTGAAATGAAATTCGTGAATATAAACTGCCTACATAGCTAAACTTCAAAAGGATTGTTCCCTGAGTTTGATATAAAGGAGAAATGAAAGGGAAATAATTTCTAATTAAGTAATGCATATTTCAGTACCGTGCAGCTAAGAACTATATTAAAAGATACAACATCATGTTCCTCCTTACAATGAACATTTGTGTTTAATAGAAGTAATGCATTTGAATGAGTGTTGTCAGCCTTTTTTGGCTTGCAAATGACAGTATGAACCTGCTAAATATAAGAGTATGTACACATAGCACATATACGTACTTAACTGCCACAAACCTGTTAGCTACAAATGTAGGCCAGTGGGGTATTTTACTGAAGGCTCTGATGTTGAGTGGCTATGATTTTGTTACCATGATTTTTCCAAAATGGTTACACCACATGGGTGAAGCTCCAAATAAAACAGAGTACAAATATTTCTTGATTTATATGGTAATTTTCCCCTGGACGATTCAATGTATATTAAAACTGTATCAAAGAGTTAGGTTCTATAAATCTACATAAAAGCCCTACAGGCATTGGAAAGTTGTTTGGACTAGGGTAGCTTAGGGGTACAGAGCATGCTTAGCATGAGCAGAAGCCTGAGTTCATTCCTCACCATCAAAAAAACCAAAGTTTGGGAAATGGACAATTGTTTGTGTACACCTCTCTAGGGCATCATTGGATGTCATGTGTCCCTGGTCCCCACCCACAGTCTAAGGAAGGAACCTCAGCCATTGTGGTAACTGAAAATGTGCTCACCATGGCCTCAAAGAAATACAAGAACAAAAGTGGAGACATGACTGAGGGATTGATTCAGCTGTCTCAAAGAATGGCCTCTTGAAAAAGCACAGTTGCCAGTATGCATGCTTGGTATCTTTGCCCACGCTTTGTTCTTAAAGCGCAACCTCTTTTAGGATAAAAACTGCCAAGCTATGCTATTTTGCTTACATATTGTCTTCATAATTTCAGGCTCCAGTGTTATACTAATGATTATTCCATAAACAATTTTAAAAATTATGTTTTTCTGATGTTATCATTTTTCTTCCTGTCACCTTTGGTATGCATCATTACTTATCCTCTTATTGCAGTCGTGATCTTTATTGCAATTTTCTATGCTTACCTGTCTATCGTAGCTGGGATAACAGACACTGTTTTGTTTGTTATTTGTTTTTGTTTTTGTTTTGTTTTTGCCATTAAGTTTATTGGTACATTCTAGTTATACAATACAGTTACATTCATCGTTGGGATCTTGTACTTTTTACATGACTTATTGTGGTTCTTATTTTTTTCCCACTCCCCTGCCCTCCCTTCACCCCCTCCACCCTTACCTATTTACAAAGACTTTTGTTCCCATTTTTTCCTTTTCTCATATTTTTTCTTTTCCCTTCTTACTTTCCCCTACCCCTTTTACTTCCCCTACTCTTTTAGACATTTTATCCTTATTATATGTTATCAATTATACATTGTGATCCTTATTTACACTTTTAGTTTTTCATATCCCAGAAACTATTTGGTGTATATGTGTATCTTATTTATTTCACTTAAGAGTATGGCCTCAGTGTGCATCCACTTAGCTATAAATGTCTAGTTTCTCATTCTTTGTGGCTGAACAGTACTCCCTTTTATACCACATCTTCTTTATCCAGTCTCCAGCTGATGGGCAATTGGGCTGTTTCTAAGTTTCAGCTATTATAAACTGTGCCACTATAAACATGGGTGAGCATATATCACTGTGGTATGATTCTTTTAATTCTTTAGGGAAGATACCCAGCAGTGGGATAGCTGGGTCAAATGGGACTTCCAATCCTAATTGTTTGAGGTATCTCCATACTGATTTCCACAGTGGTTGCACCAGTCTGCACTCCCACCAAAAATGAAGAAGGGTTCCTTTCTCCCCACAGTCCCACCAGCATTATCAGTTGATTTTTTGATAGCAGCCATTCTTTCTGGGGTGAGGTAGAATCTCAGTGTTGTTTCCATCTGCATTTCTCTAATACCAGTGATGTTAAAGATTTTTTCATGTTTATTTGCTGCTGTTACATTTTTGTCTGAGAAATATCTGTTGCTTTCGGATGCCCATTTTTGAATTGGGTCTTTATATTTGAGGGATCTGATTTTTTTTTTTTTTTTAGTTCTTTTTATATTCTGGACGGTAGACCTTTGTCTGAGGAGCAGCTGGTAAAAATTTCTTCCCACATTGTAGGTTGTCTCTCAGCTCTGTTGGTGGTTTCTTTCAGTGCTGAAGCTTTTTAAAAGTATGAGATGCCAGTCATTGATTCTTTGTGCTGGTTCCCATGCTACCAAGGATATGTTCATCAAGTCTTTTCCTATGCCAGTGTCTTCGAGAGTTCTGCCTAACTTATCATTTTCCAGCAAGTTTAGTGTTTCTGTTTTAATATTTAGATCTTTAATCCACTTGGATTTTAGGTTAGTGTGTGGTAAAAGATAGGGTCTAGTTTTGGAAAGTTGAAATCCAGTTTTTCCAATAGCATTTATTAAAGAGGCTGTCTTTCTTCCAGTGAGGATGGTTGGCTCCTTTGTAAAAGATGAGGTGGCTGAGTGTGTCTGGAGTTGCTTCTGCAACTTCGGATCTATTCCACTGGTCCTCGGGTCTGTTTGTTTGCCAGTACCGTGTTGTTTTTTTATCACAGTGGCTTTGGAGTATAGTTTCAAGTTGGGAATTGTGATACCCTCTGCCGTGTATCAGTTGACCAGAATTGCTTTTGCTAGTCTAGGTCTCTTCTGGTTCCAAATGAATTTTTGGATTTGTTTGATCTAGGTGATTTTTGGGGCTGGTGTACTAGTTCACTTTCCATCACTGGGACAAAATACTATACCTGACAAACACAATTAGAAGAGGAGGGGGTTATTTTGGCTCAGGTTTCAGGTTTCAGGTTTCACTCCATTGTTAGCTGGCTCCAAGGTAGAAACGTGGTGAAAGAGCGTGGTAGAAGAAAGGGTGCTCAGCTCATGCCATCTGAGAAGCAGGGAACAGAGGAAGAACCTGAGAGGTAGAAGCTGAGGACCACACCAGCTGGTTATGGCTGAGAGTAAATGTTCATCAAGAGTTAAAATAACCTATACAGATTGGGGTTGCAGCTCAGTGGTAGAGCAGCTGCTTAGTATACACAGGCCCTGGGTTCCATCTCCAGCAACACACACAGGAAGAAACCCACCTGTCTGTGGTTGTGACATTTTCTTATTTCCAGGTTTGATTCCAGGTATGGAGCCATCACTTTCTGTTGTTGTTACCTGCTGTTTGCTTAGGAGACTTTTGATTGTCGAGGGGAAGGATAAAAATGTCTTGTTACATGCACAGGGACAGTTCATTATCATTAAAAAGCATAATGCTTCATCTAACACTGGAGGGTTTTCAAATAAATTCATTGTCTGTGAAACTGAGGAGTTGTGTTTTCTCTTTTCCAGCTGACATCCCAGCATCCTTATGCTGAAGTTTTCATCGGTCGGCCGCACGTTTGGACTGTTGATCTCAACAATCAGGAGGAAGTAGAGGATGCAGTGAAAGCAATTTTAAATCAGAAGGTTCTGTCTTTTATTTCACCTCCCTCCTCCCCATTTGTAAAGTGACCTGGAAGTGTGGGAAGCGTCACAGGGCCTTGGATTCCCACATCAGCTGAAGCTAGAAAATAGCCAAGCTGTAGGATTTGGTCTGGGATTTCATGAAATGGTAAATGGAACTGGTGTCCAGATGTGAGCATCGATTCTGCAGATCCTCTTGACAGGACTGTGGGGTCACAGGGCTGAAAAGAGGGGCTGGAATTTTACTTGGTTCCATGATCTAGTTGTGACTAACAGAAATGTGAAAACAGCTCTGCACCTTTTACCTTACCCACAAAGAGATGGACAGAGATGGTTACGGGGGTGGTGCTTAAGGAAATAAGTGGGCCTTTGACTTACAAACTCAATTCATTCCCAAGGGCTGGTTGTAACTCATGTTGGTCAAATGAAGGCTCGGGTTCCTCTACACAGCCTTCAAAGTTTCTCGTATACAGGCACATCTCAGTGTCCTCAGAGAGACATTGGCTCGGGATTTCTCAGCCCCACACAGGAAAGGATGTTGTAATGTTCCTTCCACAGCTCTTTTGATAGTTAAATCTGTATCTTAGACGATCTGGATGCAAAAGTGGCTGGCATTTGGATCATAACTCACAATTTTGTTTGTAAGTTGAAACAAAAATTCCAGTCATAACTCCAGTTGTTTATATGTCAGGCCGATCATAAAACTCAAGGGTCATCTGTAGTGGGAAGGGTTTTTGTAGAACATCTGTTTATTTGGTTTTCCTACCTGAATATTTTATAAAAACTTGTAAAGATGACTAACTTTTTGGGCCTCTCCTGATGAATTCAAACATTTATTAAGCCTCTACAGTACACAGAACCCTCTCCAAGCCAACCCGGGAGGAGGAGGGTTGTTTACTTTCACAGACATGGATAAGTTTGGCTCCCTCCCTACTACTGGGTGGCTTAAACATGAGAAATAGGGCCAGAGATTTAGCTCAGTGGCACTGTGCCTACCTAGCAAGCACAGGGTCCAGAGTTTGATGCCCGATACCAAAACAAAACAAAACAAGCAAAACACTCAGAAATATTTCCTTTCATTTTGGGAGAATAGATGCCTGAAATTAAGACATCAGCAGGATTGTGGTCCCTTAGAAGCCTATAATGGAAGAAAATAGTCTCCTTGTATCTCACATTTCATTTTCTTCAGCCAGCCATGGTCCAAAAATATTGAGGGGGGAAGTTCAAGAAATACAGCCATATATTTTAAATGCACACTTATTCTGAGTAACATGGTAAAACCTCAGGCTGTCCTGCTCTATCCCATTTAGGAATTGAATCAGCCTTCTGTGCAATGTGGCCATTCTATAAATGCTACCCTCCTTGGTATACTTACTTAGTAGTAGTCTCAGTTGTCAGATCAACTGTTGTGCTGTCCTGGTACTTGTTGTAAAGGACTGAGTACCATTCTTTGGTCTTGGAATGTGTCCCCTGCAGACGGGGGTGGGGTGTACTATATTCTTCCAGCCTCTGGCAGCTGCAGGCATTTCATGCCCCCTCAGAGCTTTAATCTCTGCCTTCATCATCAAGTGCCTTCTCCCTGTGTCTCTGCTCTTTCTCTTCTTATAACTTAAAACTTTATATGTAATAGATCACTTGTACCAGGCCAGAAATGAATGTAAATCCCTGGTGCATAAAGCCTGAGCATAAGCACTGAGTTCTATGTAGTCATTTCCACATGGGCTTGTTCTGTTCACGCCGTGGAACCTTTAATGACCCACAGTTCAATTAAAACCCTCATCCACCTTATTCATGTTATTACAGAAACTATGTAAGGCCATTAAAAAAATTGTTAACTGTGGCGGACCTTATAAGTTTTATCTCATTTAATCCTTCTGCCATTCTGTATTATTCCTGTCGTAATAGATGAGAAAATGAAGGCTTACAGAAGATAAGCAATTTACCCACGGTCACATAACTAGTAACAAGCAAAACCTGCATATAAAATTTAAAAAGAAAACAAAAACATGAAGTAGAGTAAAGGGAAGGAATGGGGAAGAGAAATAGAGTAAGCAGGGAGAGTAATACAAAAACTTATCATAAAAATCTTCATACTTGTTAGAAATAGATCAGAAGTTTGGGGCTGAATTTTCCCACATAAAATTCCAAGATTGTAAATTATGTGACACTCAGAAAAGGAAAAAAAATCATTAAGAGAGAAAAAATGTCATATTTAATGCCTGTAATCCTAGGACACTGGGAGGCTAAAGTAGGAGAGGATCCCAAGTTCAAGTACAGCCTGAGCAACTTAGGGAGATCCTGTCCTAAAATTAAAAAGAAAGAAAAAAAAGAGAGAGAGAGAGAAAGCTGGGATGTTCAGTCGCCAGTGAAGAGAGCAAGGTCAATAAAATCAGACCTAGAGATAGCTCAGATGCTGGAATTATCTGATAGCAACTTGGTGAAAACATATATAGACAACGTATGTGAACAGATGGGAAATTTTATCATAGAGATGGAAGCTTTTTTTTTAAGCCAGATGATAAATGCTAGAAATAAAAAATACAGTATCAAAAATGAAATCTTTTTGTTTGTTTCGTTTTGTTTTTTGAGACAGGGTCTCACTATGTAGTTGAGACTGACCTGGAACTCACTGTGTAGCCCAGGCTGCTCTTGAATTTACAGCGATCATCCTGCCTCCCGAGTAATGGGATTACAGGTGTGCCCCACCACGCCCATCGAAAACGAAATCATTTTAGAAATTCATTCAGTGGGCTTTTCAGCAAACTGTTCATAGCAAAGGAAAAAAATCAGTGAACTTGAAGATTTTTCAGTAGAAATTATCCTAATTGAAATGCAAAGAAAAAAAAATGAAGGCAAAAGCGCCTGTGTAGTCCATGGGGCAATATCAAGTACCCTAACTTAGGTATAGCTGGAATCTCAGAAGGAAAAGAGAATGGGATAGAAGAAATAATTGAAAAGATAACAGCTAAGAATGTTTAAATAATGACATTAATTTACAGGTTCTAGGAGCATGGTATACCCCAACCAAGAGAAATACAAGGAAAAACATATCCAGGCACATTGTAATGCTGAATAAGTGTGGCAGAAAGTTTTGAACAGGAGGATGACAATGACCTACTTTGCATTGGGAATCCTCAAGAGAAAAGATCTTCCTAACCCTAAAATCCTATAACAGGGCCAGGGATTTAGCTAGTGGCTCCACCGCCTGCCTCACGAGTACAGGGTCCCAAGTTCAATCCCCCAGTGCCAGAAAAAGAGGAAAAAAATCCTATTATAAATAGAGGAGCCTAGACTCAAATGGAGGTCTTGTGAGACCTTCTAAGACTGTCTCTCATTTAATGAGGCCAAGCCATGCCTGTCTGGTGGAACCATTCAGTTTAGCTGATCTTTGAGGCCCGTTCCCTCTAGAAATTGTCTTCCACCTGGGAAAGGAGTGGGTACCATTGGACCCAAGAAATCTCTCAAGAAAAGAAGTCAAGAAGAGAAAATGTTGGAGAATATGAGAAGTTCTTGAAAAGTTTCCAGGGCCAGCAGAAACTCCACAGTGCAGCCTGCAGGCATCCTTCCTGCACACCTGACCAGATGAGCAACAGCCCTTTTTCCACAAAGCCTGATGATGAGCCTTGCATCCTTGCGTCTCCCCTTGGGTTTTTCAGGGACTGGATGTGATTTCAACCTTCTCTTTCTTCCATATCCCAAGCCTTGGCTTGTTCCTGAGGGACTGTTGGTCAGAAAACCTCTTCCTTTTACCTTCCAGTACCCCTCAGTCTCTCTGACTTCAGGGGAATGCCGGAGAGAGTCTTCTCAAGTAGAGGCCCTGCTCCTATCCGTGGCCAAATGGCTAGTTGGACTCACTGGAAGCATAGCAGCTAGGCTTCCCTCCCCCGCTTTTCCTTTTCCTTTATAGGAAGATTGTCTGGCTTCATTTCCTTCAAAAGAATGAGTCCACATCCCTTTAGTTGAACTGGGTGTGGTTAATAGAACAGGGAGGCTCAGGGCCACCCTACTGCTATGTGTAGGCCCTTTTTAAAATTATTATTTTCTTGAGATAGCATCTCATCAAGTAGCCTGTGAACCTGTGATCCTCCTGGCACAGCCTCCTTTATAGGTGGGCACACAGGCCCAGCCATTCTGTGGATTTTGACAAATGTTAGATGCTACTCCCCCAGCACAGTATCATAGGGACAGTCACATTGTCCCAGAACTCCCTGATGCTTCATCCATTCCTTCCTCATTCCCTGGGACGCATAGGGTAAGCAGAGGTCTTACCATCTCCATGGCTTTGTTTTCCAACGATGCCAGATATTTAGAATCATACAACATGGAGCTTTTCAGCAGCTTTTGCCCAACAGTATGCATTTAAGATTCGGTTTTTCTTGTTAATTCGGGATCTTGCTACTGAGTCCAGAGTAGCCTTGAACTTGTGATTCTCCAGCCTCCGCCTCCTGAGTGCTGGGGTTACAGGCATGTACCCCACACTTGGTAAAATTTCTTTGCCTTTCCATAGAGCAGTCTTTTTTTAGTTCTGAATAATATCCCACTGTCAGGATGTTCCAGTTTATATATTCACTTACCTACTGAAGGACACTTTGGTTGCTTCCACATTTTGAATAAAACTGCTATAAATTTGGCATGCTGAGGCCAGGAGTATTGCTACAAGTTCGAGGTCAGACTGGGCTACATAATGAGACCCTGTCTCAGGGAAAAAAAACAAACTAAACAAATCAATAAAAACTGCTATAAAGAAAAAATATAGACCAGAAGAAGAGCCATCTGCTTCACTGAGCCCTTTGAATTACCTGTAATTTGCTTTTGCCCTTTGGAATATGTTATCAGAGTGAGCCCGAGAATTTAGCCTGCTTCCTCTCAAGGGACTGAATCTGCTGGTCTCATCACAGTTCCCCACCAAGGCATGTTTATTCCGCTCTGGACACTCCACTCCACTTATAAGCAAACCCAGATGTGCCATGTCTTCTGTCTTAGAAGTTTTCCTTTAGTGTCTTCTATAAACCTTTGAGAGGAGATGTCTCTATCCTATTTTTAGAAAGCTTCTAGAGTCACCCATGGCTGGAGTTAGTAAATATCCTTTCAAAGAAAAAGTTGCATTTCGTATGGAGAGCTATGTCGAGGTCACAGAGGACCTGCGAGTGCAAAAGGCTGAGTTGGGCAGGAGCAAGCTGGGACCCTGAAAGGCAGTTCTTCAGAGGATGTTGGAGCTCTTTGGAAATGAGTACTGACGTCTCTCTCCTTTTGGAGTAGACTCTGTAATTCAGTGCTTACAGCTGAGCTTCTGTCTCTGCCTGGACAGATGTGGCTAGGAAACACGCTGTGATGAAGCCTGTGTCTGGTTGTTTTAAAGTGACACTATCAAATTCTCTGAAAGCATTGACTCAAGTTTCCAAAAATAATGTACGTGACTCAACAGAAGAAGGGAGAGGATGCCCCAAGCCCGAGAAGCTGGCCACCCACTGGGAGTGCCCTCTCTGCAGCAGGCCTGATTGTCCAGCTTTCTGCCCTATAGATTCAGAGAAATGTGGGTTTAGGAGGGAGTTGGTGAAGGTGCCCATCTCCCTGTCGTTGACAGATGCTGTTGGGTTTTCTGCAGCTGTATCAGATGGGATTGTGGGTGGTTTTCTCCCAAATGAAATACCTATTTCACATTGATACACCCCCAAACACACAGGCCTCAGGTCTAGGCAAATACTGTGCAGCCTGCGTGTCTTCCCTGTCTTCAGTGTCACAGTATCAGAATGTTTCAGCTACCCCAGTGAAGCACCTTCCAGCTACCTTGAAAATCTAGGCTCCTCCATTTAGAGATCTCACGGCTTTCGTGGAAATCCAGCAACTCTTTATTTTTCCTCAAATCTTCACAGACCTGTGCTCCTGCTTCCTCCATTTTTTCATGTCAGATTTCTTAGTACTCACTTCGCCCGGAATGTGTTCCATTCCTTGGCCCTCCCAGGTCTTGGCTTTCCAGATTCATCACTGGCAGTAAAAGCCCAGCATGAGCAGTCAGCTTTGCCCTCTGGCCTCCGAGGGCCATCTAGCTGAGCTCTTTGTGGCACTTTGACTTTGTTTCTGTTGTACAAGTGCTTTGGGTGCCTGCTAATCTCACTACTAATGCAGACCAGTGCATTTGTGTGACCTCCTTTTTCATGGTTCCATGATCTGTTTCTACAGATTGAGCCGTACATGCCGTATGAATTCACCTGTGAGGGGATGCTACAGAGGATCAACGCATTCATCGAGAAGCAGGTGAAGCTCATCAGAAGTCTGTCTGTGCTGACCCTTCCTTCTGTTTCCCCAAGGACTCCCATGCACATTTCAGAGTTCACCATGTTGCTTTGGAAGACTCCAGAAGTTGGGTAGCAATTGGTGGGAATTTTAAGCCACCCTGAGAGCCAGTCTTTCCTTGTGTGTTCTTAGAGACTGGAAGGTCACATGGATATGTACAACAGGAGAGGCCAGATAGTCAAGCTGGAGACTTCCTGGCCGCCACGACCTGTGTCCCATGACATTCTGGGGACATCATGAGGACTGAGGAGAGGGGGCAGACAGATAGCTCTGAGGAAAGGTTGGAAAACACAATGGCTAAGCATTGCTTTAATAGAACACATTTTAGGACTTTCTAGTGATTGCTAAGATCTTTTCAAATAGGACCCGTTTTCATAAGAAACCTAGATATATAAAACAGATGAAAGCAGAACTTCAGTTCCTTTGCAGAGGAGGGTGCCCATGGTCCTGCCACCCTCAATAGCATTTGGAAACTAGCGCTTGTGCTCCTGGAGGTAAAGGCCATGAACATTGTTACTACCCCCCTTGTATAACATTTTAATTCCTAGGACTTCAGAAGCAAAACAGAGCTAGAAATAGACTTAACTCCAATCCTCCATGGGTGAGAGAATCTGAACTCCTTGACCAGATTATAGAAATAAGGGGCTCCCCTTAAAGGGTCAGGCATCCAAGAGATCTTTACACAGTGTGGGACGAGGACAGCTGAAAATAGAAATTCAGGTAGACACAGATTGTAGGCCTGGTGGAAACTTCAGAGGCAGGCAGAGCAAGTGGTTTGAGGCTGAAGCTGAAGGGAGGGGAGGGCAAGGCATGGGATGTGAGCCTCAGGGTGGCCTGATTGTCCGGCCTTTCAGTAGGGGCAAGAGGGCAGCTCTGCAGCCCACGCGGTAGGCTCCACTCCCAGCCCTGGATGTGTGTGGTTTTATGAGTTGGGCACACTCAGTCTCTCTGTGCCTTAGTTTCCTCTAAGGGATAAGTTATAAGAGATAATACACTGGAAGGGCTTAAAACAGGGCCTGGTACATAGTGCTCAATAAATGTGATCTAGTACTATTGATTACTTAATGCGTTATGCTCTATTATAGCATTTTATATGCTTATTATATTCATGTAATTATATTACTCATCAGACTTTACCGTGAGAGCTGAGCATTTGAATCATTGGCTCAGTCAGTCTTATAGGACTGCAGGGTGACAGTATTATCGTAACTCCAACAATCACATACATGCAGGTTCAGCCAGCGTGTGCTAAACACATCAGAGTACAGTGCTCCCTTACCTGTGGTTTCATTTTCTGAGGTTTTCGTTACCCATGGTCAACCATGATCCAGAATTACTAGCTGGAAAATACCAGTAGGGTACAATAAGAAATTTTGAGAGAAAGAGGCCATGTAATACATGTAACTATTATTATACCATAATTGTTCTTACTTCAGTTGTTGTTAATTTCTTGCTGTGCCTAATTTTTAAATTGAACTTTATCATAAATAAGTATGTATAGGAAAAAACATAGTGTGCATAAGGTTCAGTATCAACTATGGATATGTAAGGGTCCAGTGGGGGTCTTGGAACTTGTATGCTGAGGTAAGAGGAGCTGCTGTTTAACATATCATTTAATGTGCCAGTAGTAATCACCCCCTTCTCTGCATCATGGGAGACTTTCAGTAATAGAGCTCACAGCTCCTGGGATCAGGACACTGCGTGGGTTTACTGTGTCTTGCACCTCAGCTTCACATCTTCCAGTTGCTCAGCCTCCCTGAAGTTGTGGAGGGAAGCTCCAGGGCCTCCTTTAGCCTTGGGTCTTGAGACCTCCCAGTTCTGGCTAATGTCCATTTCAAAGGCTTTCTTGAGCTCTTACCACATCCCTGGGCCTCCTTCCAAAAACCTTTTTCTTCCTTTCCTGAATGCATGTCCTCTCAGGGAAGATAGTTCCTCACCAGCAGATATAAATGACTCTTGGTCAGGTTTATTTGAAAATCTTTATTTCTTTCCTTCCTGAGGCTTATAAACTCCTCCAGCCAGTCCTTTTAATATCTCAGTTCCTCTACATTCCTAGTCTATTGCTGAGCTTTCTTAAGCACGAGGATCCAATTCCCCAAATAGACCTGGCTAAGTCCTCTGTAATAGAGGGGCTGCCCTGGCTTGTTCAGCTTTCCATCCACAGTGCCTGACACAGCAGGTGCACCATCACTCCAGGTGAAAGAATAAGGGAACGGGAAGGTAAGTGACTGTGTACATCAGGAACCAGGAACTTGCCTTGAACTTTATAATTTGGATAACGTAGTGCTGAAATTCTCTCCTGAAAAACATGCTAATAATGAAACTGCCCTTTCCTGTCACCTCCTACTTGTAGAGATCTCTGCAGAGATGTGCAGTTCACAGAATTCCAGACTTCTTGTTTTTATGGATTCACCTCCTACTTGTAGAGATCTCTGCAGAGATGTGCAGTTCACAGAATTCTAGACTTCTTGTTTTTATGGTTGATTCATTCATGTGCTCTGTGACTATTTGTCACCTGGAGCTTCTTGTGGGCTGTACTGCCAGTGGGGCAGAGGTGCCAGAGGCACTCCCAGGTGACTTGGTTTGCACTGAGCAGGAGCCAAGACCACACCTTGGGTCACTGTAGGGTAGCCTTACTCTAGTGACACAGCTACCATGCCTTGGGGTTACATCACTCACCCTGTAGGCAGGGAGAAGGGGAAATTGGAGTATTGGAAAGCTTCCTACAGGAGCACAGCCTAAGGCAAAGTGGGAGGGTGGGAAGGGCAGCCCAAGTCAGGGTGCCAAAGCCTGAAAAGAAGGAAATGATGGATCTTGGGACACATAGGTGTGACTGAAGAGAGGAGAGAGACAAAGCTAGAGGAGGAGACGGTGTGGGCAGTGCCAAGGCTCAGCGGAAGTATTCTGATTGGATTCTGAGAAAACAAGCTTGAAGAAAGGTTCTTTCACAGGGTGAGTGCAGTGATGCTATCAGATAGGTGTGTTAGAAAAATGTTTCTGGCAACCTTGTGTATGGGGCATTTCTTAAGAGACATTTTCCTGCTGCCTCTAAATGAGCAGTAAGGGGCCTGTTCTGAGTTTATACCGGGAATTCTGTTGGACCTAAAGTGGTCCTCATCCCAAACAGAAGCCAAACCCCATTGGCTCACATATCCAATCTTCTGCCTTTGAGTATTAGTTCTAATATTGAAGCGCTTGGGGCATTTGTTATTTTCACAGCTAGCAGAACATCTTCAAATCTCAGCAGGGATGGAGAGAATAGTGCTTCTGGTATGGACAGGAAACCAGCACCCTAGGGAAGAGCTTCCTGAGCTGCGACCCTCGGAGCCGCAGAGCTCATCAGGCTGACTGGAACCTGTACAGGAGCTTTTTCAGGGTGTCCTTAACACTTGCCCAAGGCAGCAGGAGCCAGAGGAAGCCAGTTGACTGCCAGTGAGAGCACTCAGGTGTCAGGGTCAAGCTGAGCAGTCACCAGCAGAGAGCAGAGGCCCTGAGGGAAGGAAACAGGCTCTAGAGAACCCATGTGCTCACTTCCTCCCATGCCCTCCACCCTTGGCTCCATTAAGACTGATTGGGATTGTGCACTGTTTGAGAGGAGCTCCCTAAAAGAGACACCGCCTGCAGCAGAGGAGGAGCTGGTGGCAAGGCAAAAACCCCTTGTGATCAAAGACCAAGCACAGTCATTCCCTAACTAGAATGCACTGGGACTCATGAAGGTTTTCATTGTGCATTTGCCTCGGGCCAGAGAGCATAGTAGGTTCTTTGGGGTGCCAGTGTTCCTATTGACTTCTGAAAACTACATATACACTCTTCAACTCTGTGTTCTGCTCCTCATAAAGAGCCTGCACATACAGAGCATGGTCGGTCACAGTCATTTGGTTTGTAAAGAGCTATATAATTCACATGAAATGTATTCTGTGGATATGGAGGGACCAGAAAAGTCGACTTCGCAAGTGGTGTGGAGTCAGACGCAAGGCCACGTCTGACAGTGAAGCTGGAGACTCCCTGGGCAGGAGTATGGTAGAGGTGACCCAGTTTCCAGGAAAAGAAGAAAAGGCATTGAAAGGGGGAGAAGGTGAGCCCTAGCCTGGGGATCTGAGCCGGTCATGATAAAGCACCGCGCCCTGGCGTGTGGCTGCCTAGTTTCACAGCCTGGCTCAGCTTCCACCTTCTCTGACCTGTGGCAGGTTCCCTAGGCTCTCTGTGCTCTGCCCTCTTCTCTGATGTTAGGATAATGCTGCTTATCCCATAGAGTTGGAAGAATCAGTGGATTAATAACATGTTTGGGGCTGACAACTACACTTGGCCCATGAAGGAACTCAAATCCTCAGCCGCTCACTGCCCCAGGAGCTCAAATCCAACCAAGGTGTGTTTCTCAGACAGACCGTGCAGTTCACTCTGTGCAAAGTGCAGGTCACTGATTGGTTGGCACATTGAAGGAGTTGTACAGTTACCACCTCGACCTGCTCGTGCAACATTGCATCACCTCAGTGTGATACCTGTTTGCACTCTGTCCTTGCTTCTGCCACAGCCCCAGGAAACTACTCATCTGTTTCTGTATCCGATTTGCCTTGCTGAAGACTTACCGCCTTTTCACTTGACATCGTTGGGTTCTTTCACGTTGCAGCGTGTGTCAGAATTTATTTCTTACTGTTCACGAGTATTCTGGAGTACAGGTGACCACGGTGTGCTCATCCATCCACCAGGTGATCAACATTTGGGTTGTCCTGACTATTGTGATGAGTACTGCTGTGAACAGTCACGTGCACCCTTTGTGTGTCTCCTGAGCAGACCTCTGAGAGTCAGAGCTTAGGAAATGCAACAGGATTATGTGCACTCTCAAGGTACGGTCGTGGCTCTGTTGATCGGTGGCTGTGGAGATCGTGGAGAGCAGTCCCTGTGGCTTAGCCTCACAGATACCTTCTCTGTTGCCTTATAAAAACACAAATGGACACTCACTT